ATTTTCATTACATTAATAATTCCGAAATTCGTAAGGGGTTCTTTTAACCTTAATTATTATAATGTAATTATAATGTAATGTCAACAAAAAATAATAATAATAATTAGAAAAATCTTATGTACTTTCATTGTTCTAGAAAATAATTATGGGAAATTGGGTTAGTGAAGTGGTGTATTTTAATTAATACAATAGAACAACGTGCATATAATGTCACACAGCATTAACATAAAGCCATATAGAATTTTATTTTTTATTAATTTTTTATTAAGCTAATTGGATTTACATTTTACATCATCAAATTTTCATAATTTTTATTATATACAAGAAAAAGACAAGACAAAAACAACAATAATTAGTTGGTTTATATTAATTCCTTTTTTATGGAAAAAATATTGTTTTTGGGAAAAGTTGTTAGCATTAACAATAAAAGATAAGCTTGAATTATAATTGTAATTATTTTTTAATTGACTTTTAATTCTATTTCTAATTCAGCAATTTTGATTGGTGCACTCCAATTATTTAATTGCCAATGATGGTGCTTTGTTTAAAATATTATTTAATAATTTCCCTTAATGAGGACAAAGGTAAATTAATTATCAAATAACAAAGCAGCCCACCCCATTATATTTTTCTCTTATGTTTTTTTTTTTTTTTAATTATACTTTAGCATTGGAATAAAGGAAAATGTTTAATTTATTAATTAGTGACATTAGCATATTAATTAAGTAAATATAATGAGAGCATAAAGTTTAAAGAAATGTATGGAGGAAGTGAAGACTTTGATCTCTCCAAGATTTTTATGCTGATGAGATAGTGACTGACTTTAATATTTTTTTTTTATTTATTAGACAAAAAAAAAAAAAACAAATAAATATAAATTTTCGTGTTAATTTTATTGAAGAACTAGGTAGAGAAATTGTTCTCTTATAGGTTATGTAGCCCACTTGTCTCATCAACTTGAATGGTACTTTTTTTTTTAGTTGCCATAATTTTTTTATATAATAATGACTCGACTTTTTTGAACTCAAATTGATTATGGTCGGTATAATAATCGAAGTTTTTTATTATTGTTGATGATTGTTCGGGGAGTCCCACGTTGGCTAATTAAGAAGATGATCATGAGTTTATAAGTAAGAAACACTATCTTCAGGACATAAGAGTATATGTTCAAAGTGGTGTAGAACTATCTCATCCATGATTTGGAGTTGAATCACAATTGATATAGATAACAATTCAACCAACCTTGAGACAACTTAACATAGATTCTCAACGAGAAGATCCTAACCTTGTCAAGGTTTTGAGCTAGCTAGTATTAGGGCCTCATGAATGGGTTTTCCCTATTCTCATATGGGGTCCCTTTTATCAAGAGCGGTTGTGTGTGACTGAGTTTGATGAGCTCAAAATGGAGGTCTTTGTTGAGACTCCAAACTCAACACTCGAATGCACTCAAGTGGTAGAAATTGTATTAAAAGTTATGCACGAGAAGAGGTACATGTCTCTTGGTGAACGCTAATTGTTAGAACTCAAATTAATCTAAGTCACATATAATATCATTTGAAACAAAAAAGGTAAGAATGAAAACTATACCAAGAAGACAGAAAAACTAATAAAATTAAATGTCTCGATAATATAAAAGAGTTTACTTAATATATTGCAAGTCCTCGAAAGATATTTATTTTCTCTTTTGTATCCTTTTAAAAATTAGATCGAGAGATTCCGACTATAGCCCACTTGTCTCTTCAACTTGAAAGATGAGTTTTATTTTTTATTATTTATTTATTTATATAATTTTTATTTTTGACTCTGGTTTTTTTTTAAAAAAAAAAAATTAAATTAAAAAACATGCTTCGTGGGAAAGCTCCAAGGAGGTGTGGCTGTCAATGGTTCTAGGGTTCATCCATATCCTCAACCAAATCGGTCTCCTTCCTATCAGTTATATAAATTATTTTTAATTTCTTGGATGTAACATTCATTAAATTATACAAAAATCCAATTTTTTATATAAATTTTTAAAAAATTACATTTATATTTTATTGTTATTATTATTATTATTGTTACACACTTAAAATGAAATTTAACTTTAAATTGTAATTCTTTTGTTAGAATAATTAATAAAAAAAATTAATTTTGTTAAGTTTTATTCTATATCAAATGATTGGGAGAAGAAATTGATTTGATGGAATAATTTGCATTAAAAAAAAAGTATTTAAAGGGAAGAAAATTTTTTTGGTGTTTGATTAGACATGGCTTAAAGGTCATGACTTTTTTTTTTTTTTCTTGAAATAAAAGATTGACTTTTTCTCCCCCACAAAAAAAAAAAAAAAAGGAATCCAATATTTATGGAAAGATTCCATCTTGAAAGAAGGAATATTCCAATGTTGTGGCAGAGAATCTATACAACCAATTATATAATATCATATATATTAAATATTTTCTATCTATATAAAAACAATACTATTAATAATAAGTATAATTAAGTTTATGATTTTTGAAGAACGTATGTATTTGGTCGTGATCTTTCCAAAGTATCTAAAATTCTCTTAGTTTCNAAAAAAAAAAAAAAAAAAAAAAAAAAAAATTTAGTTTAATAGACACTTGATTCGACGACTAAATTTTTAAATATTTTAAAGATATAATAGATATCAAATTAAAATAATATTTAACGAATTTAATCTTTCTAGCTTAATGAATCTTTCTTACAATGTTTTAAACTACAAACAAATTTAATGATAATATAACCAAATTATTGAATGAATTATCATTTGAAGTAAAATAATTTAAAACGGGTTGTATTTTACCATTTAAACACATAGTAACTCAATTGATTAAACCAAATATAACCTATTCATTACAAAAATTACACGGCTTAAATGATTGTTGAAAATTTTAGAAAATTATATAGTTGACTTTTTTATTAGGTCAAAGAGGAATTAGTGAAATTAAAATATATATATATATATATATATATATATATATATATATATTATCTCAAGACTTCAAATTATTAATCAATCAATCAGTTAAACATTGCAACCTGTAATTAAAAATAAAATATAAATTTGGATGGAAAATGGCTTATTATATTAATATAATATCAACCCCTCAGTTGGTATTGTAAATGCCTCTTTATAAATTAAAAAAAAATCCTTAATTAATTTTTTTTATAATTTTGTCAACCTAACATCGTTTTCCATGTATTTATTATTATTTTCTTTTTTTTGGAGGTTTCAAGGGGTGGAGATAAATACAACATTAATTAGTGAATTAATTGACCATTTCAAATTACAAATTTAAAAACTTATAGTAGTTATAAGCATCCCAAGAAAATAATAGAAAAACAAAAGGTAATTTGAGGTCGGCAAGATTAAGAATGTTAAGTATGGATTATTCTATGAATTTCTAATAAAAGAATGTTGGTTAATTACTTTACAGAAATCATATACTTTTAATTACTGAAATTTCAAATGGGTGTTTGTTTGATGTCCACAATTTTAAACCCAACACTTTTTAACAAAACCATTTTGTTTAAAACTACTTTTGAATAATTTAATTTAAGGCGTGTTTAGTGATGTTAGTTGATTTAAACTTCACTCCATAACTCGTAATAAGTAGCTTAGAAATTATTTAAGAGATAGAACTAAATTTTGTCGTGTAACTTTTTATATATATATTTATTCCTTCCTAAATTTTACCTGTTAACCTTTTTTAATCAATTTTACATTTGTCTAGCCGTACAAGAATACTAGAACATTTGAAAAAAAAAAAAAATTAGAGACTATTTGATTGATGATTGAATAAAATGGGGATGGGATTTTATTTATTTATTTATTTATGGCAAAAAAAAAATGGTTAAAGAATAGAAAAGATCCAAATTCCAAAAAAAAAAAAAAAAAAAAAAAAAAAAAAAAAAAAAA